TGTTGCAGCTCGTGATTACTGCCTTTTGTCCCGTCACTGTGCACTTCAGAGAAGAGTTTGACTTTGTTTTCTCTGCAAGGACTTTTTAAATAGCTGAAGATAACTGTTGGATTTGGGGGATCTCTTCTACAAGCTGAACAGAACCAGCCCCCTCAGTTTTTCTTCTGTCTTCACGTGCTCTGACCCCTAACCATCATGGGAGGATAACAGTAGTTCATGCAATGATATTCATATAACTGAGAAGCTGTTGTAAGACATGTAGAGATAGGATTGGCATGTGGCTGTTGGTGCTTGAGAGGGGTGTGTGAGGGATAGAAAAATACATTCAATTATCCCTTGAAACCTTGGTTCATCTGCTGCATTTAGTCATACAAAATTCAGGACAATCACTGCAGTAGAACTATCTGAATTCTATGGTATTTTCAGACAAATAAGACAGTGTAGGTAAGAAGGAGTTAAACAGACATATAAAATGAAGGCACATGTCAGATGTTAGCTGATTTGGATAAAAAGGTGGTGATGAGGACACAGCCCAGGGGAAAAGCAAATCTGGGAATGTGGTCACTGTTTCAGAAAAAGGCCCCAGTAAAAGAGGAGACATTTGCAGCATTAGATTGAAGATTGGGAAGTAAAAGGAAAGTAGAGATGAATATACACACACAGAACTAGATACAGCTGAAGAAACTCAAGGATCCCTCAAGGGTCCATACTGGGACCACTACTATTTAATATCTTCACTAATGACATAGATAGTGGGATTGAGTTCACTCTCAGCAAGTTTGCAGATGACAAAGCTGTGTGATGCAGTTGATATACTTGACATAAAGGATGCCATCCAGAGGGACCTTGTCAGGCTTGAGAAGTGGACCGGTGTGAACCTCATGAAGTTCAACAAGGCCAAGTGCAAGGTCCTGCACTTAAATCAGGGCAATCCATAGTGTCAGTACAGACTGGGTGATGAATTGATTGAGAGCATCCCTGCAGAGAAGGACTTGGGGGCACTGGTGAATGGAAAATTGGGTATGAGCCAGCAATGTGTGCTTACAGGTCTGAAAGCCAATCATATCCCGAGCTGCATAAGAAGCATGGCCAGCAGGTTGAGAAACATGATACTCTCCCCCTACTCTGCTCTTGTGAGACCCCACCTGGAGTACTGCATCCAGCTCTGGGGTCCTCAGTACAAGAAGGACATGGACCTGTTATAGCGGGTCAAGAGGAGGGCCACAAAAATTATCAGAGGGCTGGAACACCTCTCCTATGAAGAAAGGCTGAAAGAGTTGGCGTTGTTCATCCTGGAGAAGAGAAGGTTCTGGGGAGACGTTATGGCGGCCTTTCAATATATAAAGGGGGCTTATAAGAAAGGTGGAGAAAGACTTTTTACCAGGGCCTATAGTGATAGGACAAGGGGCAATGGTTTTAAACTGAAAGAGGGTAGATTTAAATTGGATATAAGGAAGAAACTTTTTATGATGAGAGTGATGAGACACTGGAACAGGTAGCCCAGAGAATTTGTGGATGCCCCATCACTGGAAGTGTTCAAAGTCAGGTTGGATGGGGCTTTGAGCAACCTGATCTAGTGAAAGATGTCCCTGTCCATGGTAGAGGGATTGGACTAGATTGTCTTTGAAGGTCCCTTCCAGCCCAAACCATTCTATGATTCTATGATTGTAAACTGAGGTACAGACGTATTTTATTGGAACACACAGTTTTCATAAAATCCAAATGCTTTATAAAATTGACAGTTTTGAGCAGATCACTGGCTTGAAAGAGAACTGGAGGAAAACCTGACAACACTGATTTTTTTTCCTATTTTTTTCCCTATAGAATTCAGTATTTTCTTTTTCTGAAATTAGTTGCTTTTTAAAATAAAATTGTACCACAGTATAGAGTCCAAGTCAAAATAGAGATGAACAGCTTTAGCCACCCTAAAACAAGTCTATTTTCTGAAATATATCTTCCTTCCTAGAATATTTGAGTGTTGTTTTTTTATTATTTTGCTTCTTTGAGAATGAAGCTGATTTTTGGAAACTTGTAGTCATTTGTGAAGTAGAACTTCTTATTTCTTTGCATCTCTTTCTTTAGAAAGGTTAGAAAGCCACCTCCAAACACCTACATGCCCATGCTTTATTTAAAAATAATCCAAAACAAGCAAAAAGAATGGGCAATGGAATTGAAAATGCCAGACAGATGTGAATACAGACAGGAAAACTGAGTATGTTATAATGGCTTTAAGGATAGACAAAGCATATAGCCTATACAGTTTACAGTAAGGGAAGAAGAAGCTGGATGGAGAAAAAGGACAAAGTTCTCCCCAAGGGATTTCTTCCTTGGACTCTCTGGACTACCACTCTGGTGTTCCTTTCTACACGCCAGTTTTGGTTTATGTTCAGGCCATTGAGTCAGACATCTTAAGGAGCAGTTTACATCCACAGGCAAGCTAAGTAGAATTAATGCTCATGATCCCATGCGGACAGGGATTGATACTATGACTGCTATAATGTCTAGCTGTTTCATGGGCTATATAAAAAGAATAAGGGATTTATGTGTCCTTCTATCCACTGTCCTGCCATCTGTGAGTGCCATCACAGAGATCAAGCAGAGTTTTGCTTTTAGAGGTTACATGGAATTCACTGGACATATAAAACACCTCACTAGAGATAATATAATTCCATTTGACATTTCCATAGGGGAATTAGAGAGACAAGGATTATAAAAAGTATTATTGGCAGTTTAATGTCAAATTTGGAAGGGGTAAATTAGGAACTGATTAGGTGACTACCAGCAACTTTGGCCCTCATGATTTTAAAGGGCACAAAACACAGATCACAGAATGCAGTATTTCTCTAAAAGATATCAAAGGTCATTGCAAACATGGGCTTTTATGCTAGAACTCAGATTTTAACAAATTTAAGGGGCAAATCTAAAACTATAAGGTGCTTTATAATTCCTTTCCTAGTAAAAGCACAGAACTGGTCATAGGAAAAGACATGCAGCTCTAGATGTTTTTATAAATACGATAATTCAGTCATTTCTTCTGTGTAAAATGTCTGTATTCTTTTTTGATAGCATACCTTGCCAAAGATGATAGATGTTTCATGGAGAAAAGCAATTGCTTCTTGACACAGACAAGTATTGGTATAGTTTGAATTTTAACATTATTCACAAAGTTTGAACGTATTTAAAATACGTGAGGACATGTAGCACTATGCTAATTCATTCCCTTCAGCAGATTTTTTTGGGGGAGGAGGCAATATTCTGAAGTAATGGGAATAAATTAAATAATATGATTAATAAATTATGTAATTTTGTAGTTAGGACCTCTTTTTTTCCACATTTCATCAGTTTTAAAACCAACCTTTTCTCACAGATTTACTCTGTGAGAATTTAATCACAACAGATTAAAAACAATCTCTCACTCAAGCACAGACTGCAGTTTAAAGGTTAAAATATCATGATCCTGCCCACACAGGTTTGATTTAGTCTTTATCAATGGTTACATGCTCTGTAGAGTCTTTGCTGCCTTTAGTAGATTTTGGTCTTATTCATAGAGCTGAGATCTCTACACATAATTACTCTTCCTCTTGTTTTTCTTTTTTTCTTTTTTTCTTAGATTGAATGCTCAAGTATATCTGACTACTCAGAAAAAATTATCAAGGCCAACCACTTGGACAACAGTAAGGCATATAAAAAAAAATTTCTTCAGGAGAAGGAGAAGATAACTGTTTCACTTTTTCTGATTAATATATATGGTGTGGTTTATATGTAAATAATAGTTTTGCGTAATTTACTTATGTAAATACAAAACTAAACACCTCATTCTAGGCAATACAACAATTCCTCACAGGAAGTTACTTCTACGTTTACTTCTAGGCTCACAAACAACAGAAGCAAACAGGACTTACCAACAGGCAGTTTGATTTAGCAAAGCAGACAGAAGGCCCCATATTAGAGCTGAACTTTTCAAATTAATTCTGCCATTTGAATTCCACCTTATCTTTTAAATAGAATCCCCCCCAACACTCTCTTACATTCAAATTGAAATACGGTTCAAAGCAAAAAGTATTCCATATCAATACAGATTTTTCACTAAGAGTTTCTTCTGACTTCCGACTTTTAAAAATATATATATATCTTTTTAAAAACCATATTGAAACACACACACAAATGAAAATGTTCAGTTCTCAGAATAACAATATCATAGAAAACTTTTTTGTTTTTCCTTGAAAGGAAAACAGTTGAAATTTCCAGGGATGTGGAAACACTTCCATTAAAAAAAATACTAAAAGTACCCCCAACCTACTGAAAACTCTTAACAAAAAATAATCTCCAACAAGCTCTATTTCATGTTTTCAGTCCTCCTCCAAATCACTGCACACAAAATGTCTTTGTAACAACCCCCAAAATCAGGCTTTTTTAACAGATACTGTGAGACAGTTCTTGTTCAAAAGTGCTCTTTCTGAAGAGCTCACCTTTGCTGCAGAGCAGTGCAGGTCATAGCTGGCAGACTATATAATTTGTCCCCCGCTTTTTAGCTGTGTCTGTGCTCATGCTATGCTAGCACATGCACAGGAATAGATTTCTGTTCTAGTTTAGATCTGCTCTAATTTTTATTGCTGTCACTGGCAACTTTGACTAACACAGAGCTGTTTGGGAGGAGAATTTATTGTACAGCATGCATATTCAAGTGGTGTGGTGTGAAAGAAACAGCAGTCATATGGGATATAAGAGGCCAGCCAATCTATGCAACTTTTGGTTCAGAAAAAGAAGGAAGCAAAGGACTGGAAAATACTCTCCTCCACAGTAGGAATAAGGCACTAAAACAATGAGGTGTTGACCTCAGCTTGGTTATCCTGCATGTTTGGTGCAGAGCCCGTATATTCCCAGAATGGCCTTTCCTCAAATAGCTACACAAACAGTATACAAAAATTCAATTTACATTTGGATTTCCAGCAACAGGAATTGTGTGTGAAGGGACCATTGTCAGAATAAATATCAAAGATCCAGTGTGCTCCAGAGGTTGCAGAAGGTATCTCTGCTTCTTCCTCCTGTTTCTTCAAGGAGCAAGTCCTAGGAAAAACTGGAGGAAGAAGCAGAGCCCCCTCCCCTTTGGCA